TATCTGATAAAAGATTCATATCCAAGATATATAAATAACTCATACAACTCAATAGCAAAAAGAAACCCATTTGATTAAAAAATGGACAGAGGATCTGAACAGATATTTTTCCAAAGAAAATGTACAAATGACCAACAGGTACATGAAAAGGAGCTCAACACCACCAATCGTCATAAATACAAATCAAAACCACAATGAGGTATCACCTTACACCTATTACAATGGTAATTATCAAAAAGACAAGATACTACAAGTGCTGGAGAAGTTGTGGAGCAAAGGGGACCCTTGTTCACTGCTAATGGGTAAGTAAATTGGTGTAGTCACTATGAGAAATAGTATGGAGGTTTCTCAACAAATTAAAAATAGCACTACCATATGATCCTGTTCTGGGTATTTGTCCAAAGAAAACAAAAGCACTATCCTGAAAAATGTCTGCACTCTCATGTTCTTTGAAGCATTATTTACAATAGCCAAGATATGAAAATAAATGTGTCCAGTGTCCATTGACAGACAAATGGATAATGAAAATGTGACATATATATATTTCAGCCATAATAAAAGAAGAAAATCCTGCCATTCGCAATAACATATATGGATTGTGAGAGCATTAAACTAATAGAAATAAGTCAGGGAGGTATAGACAGATACTATACAATATCACTTATATATAGAATTTTTTTTAACTTTTAGAGAACAGATTGGTGGTTGCCAGAGGTAGGGGTGGGAGGGTGGGGAAAATGACTGAAGGTGGAGGGAAAAAAAAGACAGGGCTCACATTATGAGATTAGTGATGCTATATGGAAAGAAGTAACTCTGGATGAGAAGGCTTTGTCCTAAGGAATAAAGGAAAAACAATTACAGAAACCTGTGTGACTAGAGGAAATACAAACTCACCGAGACAGCAACCTCTGAAAACCTGGGAATGGTTTCTCTGTGACCAATGGGGTCCTCTGACCAAAGTCGGAATACTTCTTTTCTTTGATTCCAGGAGCATGAACCCAGCCCTCTCCTTGGGTTCTTCATTCACTTGTTTCTTCCTATCATGGTTGCCTTTCATGTAGAAGATTTAGTAGTGCTGTCAATTTGTGAATCTGTAGTACGGGTGTAGAATTCTGATTCCTGGGATATATACTCACCTCCCACCTCCTTCAAATTTCCTCTTAACTAAAAGAATGAAAATATAAAAGAGGATAAACCAAAATCCAAAAGAGTAAAAAAAGGTAGAGATCATTTGGAGATAAGAGATTTACACATATTTCCAGAGTACAGAAAGTAGATGGGATAATATTGAGGATTAAAGTTAGGACAGAAAAAAAATAATCAAAAATAATACATGAGAAGGAATTCCTGCTGACTTTCAGGCCAGTAGTCATTCTAACTCTTCTCAGTGTTGCTGGGTATTGGCAAAGCCAAACACATACAAAGTCAAAGTCCACAGGAGTGTTTGACCCCTTGCAACAGTGCTATTTCTTCTGCACTGCAATGCAAAGAAATTCTCCTATCAGCTATGGTGGTAGAAGCAAGATTTCAGTTGAAGAAGAATAAGATAAAAAATGGAATATTCCCCTTTAAAGATGTTGATAGGACTCTAAGAAATATATGATTGCCAGAAAGATTAAAGAGTCTTTGCTGGCAACCCAGAACACCAAAACCATGGACCATCGAAAGCAAGCAAAAATTAAGACAGTAAAAAATAGAGAGAGGAAGAGAAAACTGAAAACAAAATAGCTCTATTTTAGGTACCGAAAAGACATAGTCTTTCAATAGTTGCACCATGTCCAAGCATGCTTTTGGGAATTGAGGCAATATTCAGAATTTTTAGATTTTAAGGGGAAAAAATGTAGCACGCAAAAGCATGGGAAAATACAAGCAAGTATTCTCATTTTCCAGCACTAGAAAGAAAATTTCTTTAATTTGAAGAATGAGAGGTGAAAAACCCAGATAATTAAACCTTAATCAGATGATCAAATCATCTCAACGAGAAAAACACATTTAAAAATATAAAAATTGAAGGAGATTAAAGGAGAATAATAAAAAATAATAGTGGAGAAAATAGCAAATAGCCATTCTTGATGAAAATTATGGAAAATCAGGAGTTAAGGCAGTAACTTAGTAGAATAAGAGATAGCTTTAAGATATCTAGAGTTCATCTCTCCTACTGATTACAAGTAAAAACTGAACAGAATATGAGAGAGAACTACTTGTGGACTCTAAAAATTATTCAAAAGCAGGCAGATTGTGTAGCAGAGTCAAAAACTGGAGAAACAAACTGCACAAGGGTGAATATTTCACATTTTCTCTCTTTTTTCTTTTGGCTTTGCTCTGATCACAGGCCTCCAGTGGCAGGATGGCAGTGACACAGACAGTTAAAACTGAAAGAAACACAATCTTTCTGTCATCAGTGAGAAGGTTCTTGTCTCAAGGCAGAAAGAATTCAGAATTCAGAAAGAATTCAGAAGCAAGAAACAGAGGTCAAGAAAGCAGAGTAATTGAAAGTCAGCCCTCGACACAAGGGTTTGTAAAAAAAAAAGAAAAATAATTTTAAAAAGTTTTTTAAAAAGAAAAAAAAAGAAAAAAAAGAAAAAAAGAAAAAGAAAGCAGAGTAAGGGTTTATTATGGGATATTTAGTACTACTGGCCCCTAGTGAGATGAGGCCAGGAATACTTCTAGAAATACTACAATTCATAGGACCGCATCCCCACACTGAATACAAAATTATTTGGCCCAAAATGTTACTAGTGCCAAAGTTTAGAAACCCTGATCAAAACTTAAAAACAAGAAAAAAAATTGAAACATAAAATGGACAGAGCCCTGGAGACCTGTGGGACAATATCAAAAAGGTGTAATATATATGTAATTGGAGTCCCAGAAAGAGAGGAGAAAGACTGGAACCGAAAACATATTTGAAGAAAGAATGGCCAAAAATTACCAAATTTGATGAAAGACACAAAGAAATCACTCCTTGCCCCAACTTGCCAGGGAGACCTTGAATATTTGCAACCTCATCTATTACAAGTATGTCTCTAAATATATTTCCCTGGGTGACCTGGGACATGGTCAGAAGGCTAGAATTTTATGCAATGCTGGACACATAGATCATTTCATTCATAGGAGAACTTATACTTTTAAAATCACAAATTTCATCCCTGATTAAGGAACTATGGTAACAGACTTTGTTTTTACTCTCATCATTAAAGTGCCTTGCATGAGGCATGTTTACTTGCTTTTCTGCTGTGTTCCTAGAACACAGGATTTGGATGACTCTCACACCAGCAAGAAAGCCTGGGGTGGGTGGTGGGTGACAATGCAGTAGCTTAGCTCCTGGTTCCTGAACTAGAGTAGATCATAAGGTCGGACACTCAGCACCCAAGTACCAATTGCTGCTCAGAGTTTGTGCTCAGCTCCCCCTGCAGCTCCTGTCACTGTGTCACTCAGAGCACAGTAGTACACGGCCGAGTCTGCCCCTTGGACTGAGGCTTTCTCCAAGTGGAAGGAATTTGGTTTTCTGTGGTACGTGGCTTTAAAACCTTTGTTGCTTCCCGTCTCGTTGTCCCTCGAGGCTTTCAGGAGGAGCTGTGGACCTTCTCCAGGGTACTGGACATACCAGAAAAGGGCAGGGTACTGTGTAGTTTCATAGGAGCAGTTGACAATCAGGGAATCCCCTTCTGAGGGGGTCACTTGGCCTTCAGTCTGGGTCACTGAGTCTTCATTGCTTCCTCCTGAAAAAAAATAAAGTGATTCTGGTTATCTTGGCGTGATCTGGGTTCTACTCCTTAGTGAAAACGGTGGTTAAAGATTACACCATCAGGAATGGAATGGAATGAAACACTCCACGTGCCATTTAAGCTTTATGTGCCATTTTACTTACCAAACATTAAGAATAACACAATCACTAATCCTGGAGAAGAGTTCATTCTCAGAGTCTCTGTTGTCCGTGGGTCTTGAGTGCTTAGC